AAAATAAATAAATAAGATTAGGATTAATAATTTTTAATGTTTAAATTATTTTTTTTATAATTTAATTTAAGTTTTAATTTTTTTTTAATTGAATTTTTATTTAAATTTTAAAATAACTTTTTGATTTAATTAAATTTCTTATTTTTTTTATTTTTTAAATTTTGATTTCAGACTTTTTTTATTTTTTTGTTTAATTTCATTTTTAAACTTTTGTTTTTTAATTTCATTTTTTTAATCAGAAATAAAATAAATATCAGAATAAAAGTATTACATCTTGTAATACTATATTACATAATAAACATAGAGATCAATACAATAAAAAACACTGCTTACTGTGATGAAAAGTTATTAAAGAGAGCTGAGAAAAATTATGTAATCAAAAAATTCAAATGTTTAAAAGGGATTTTAAAATAAAAGATAATTGTAATTAGCATAGTAAACTTTCTGAATTCTCTAAAATCAATTTTCTGAAGATTGCTAAAATCTTTGTATTTATAGTGTTTAATATATTTCCTTAAAATAGATTTTCAGACTATTCTTTTAAATTGTACATTTTGAAAATTTTCATGATTTTTTTTATGCTTCACCTTTATAAATTTTTTTAATATTTTTTATTTTTTTTAATATCTTCGTATTTATTTTGTTTTGTATTATTTTTATTTTTATTTTATTTTTTCATTATTTTATTTAATTTTTTTATTTTATTTTTATTTTATTTTTTTTTTTAACTTTAATATTTTAATTTTTTTAGGTTTGATCAGTTCTTCTATTTAGGCTAAGAACCAAATGGAACCTTTGAATGGAACCATCTGATCTGTCATTATGGCAAAAATAAGCTGTCGATATTATATTATTTAAGAACATATCACTTTATAAACTATATCTAAAATATTGCTATTCTAAAGATTGCTGAAAATAGTGCAAACGTGAAAATATTATTCATATCTGATTATGTCTTTTATCTCACTGTCCAACATCTATATGGTATATCTGTATATAGTGTTAAATTATATATACATTTTTTAAAAAATGATTTGATGTAATAAATTTCATTGTCGTAATACTACAAAACAAAATTTTAAGAATCGAAAATTTTTTTAAATTTGATAAATTATAACATTAGATAATCTAAAATAATATTTAAGATATAGCATATAAAATTTTACTCTAACTTTTATTACAAAACTTTTTATAACCTTTTTTTTTACTTATAATTTTTATTATGAATTATTTATTGAAATACAATATACTTCAAAAATTATCTAATCGATTCAAATCATTTCTAGTGGTTGTTTTTATTCTAAGTTTAATATAAATCTGAAATTTTAATGTCAATATTATTCATTCAAAAGTTAATATTGTAATGGTTTCTCTTTTATATTTAAAAATATTTTAACAGGATAGAATAATCAATAAATCATCACAAAAAATAATTAATTGTATAAAATGGATTGATAATATTTAACTTAAAATGACGAGATAGGTTTATTACTTTATTTATCATATCCTGTCGGGTTACTTCTTTAAATAGTATATACCAACAAATATATTTTATGTAAATGAATACAATATTTGCAATATAATTGTAAAGCTATATTACTCGTGAAATTTGATAACTTTAGGACTTGAATCATTATTTATTTCAAATCTAATCTTATAAAAACTTTTTTATTTATAGAATTAAATAATAGAATAATAAAGATATGAATGGTACAATAATGATTGAGAAACATATGCATGCTATCGAGTTAATTTATTGAAAATTATTTCTTTACAACTTTTTCTTGGATCCTTTTAAAAATAATATTAGCAGCATTTTCCCATGTAAAGTCCAGAATAATGCTATAAGAAGTATCACCAATGATATCAAATCCAACACTATTATCATTAGCAGTTTCTTTTATAATTTTTAAATCAAATGCTTTATCCTTTTTAATGCCAATTACAATAATAGGACATTTAATTATTGTAGGATCCACAAAAGGTTTAAGTAGTTCATAAATTTCTTTGAAAAAGCTTGCCTTCTCAAGCTTTGGTTGAAGTTCTATAGCTATAGAATCAGAAAATACTCTAGAAAAGGTAACTCTCTTCATTAATTTAGGAGTTCCTAATGTTACATATGGCTTTAATATAAAAATTACTTTAAGGATAGTAAGAAATAGAGTATTATATATAATTTAAGAAAAAATTTGAAGGTGTATCTTGTAGCTGTACAGTGAAAATGATGCAAATAAAACTCCACCAGCAACTTTCTGTTGATTATCTTTAAGAAAATTTTGAATAACTTTGATCAGCTTATCACTGCAATGAAGGTAAGAATAACATAATTCTTTTTATTTTCTTTTTTATTAAATTTTTTTATTAATATTTTTATTTTTATTTTTTTTTTAATTTATTTAGGTTTGATTAGGCCTTTCACTTAAGAACAGAACCTTCAAAATAGAACTGACCAATCTATTACTGTGGTGAAAGTAAAGCCATTGATATTTCTTTCTTTTTTATTATTTTTTTATTTTATTAAATTTTTATTTGTTTTTTTAATTTATTTAGGTTCAATCAAACCTTTCACTTAGGGATGTAACCTTTGAAATGGAACCTTTCTAATCTATCACTGTGGCAAAGGTAAAGCCATTGATAATTCTTTTTTTTTATTTTATTAAATTTTTTTATTAATATTTTTATTTTTATTTATTTTTTTAAATCTATTTAAGTTTGATGCTTTTTACTTAGAGATGGAACCTTTGAAATAGAACCTTCTAGTCTATCACTGTAGTAAAGGTAAAGCCGTTGATAATTCTTTTTTTTTATTTTATTAAATTTTTTTATTAATATTTTTATTTTATTTGTTTTTTTTAATCTATTTAAATTCGATCAGGCTTTTCACTTAGGATAGAACCTTCAAAACAGAACTGTCTGATTCATCACTGCGGTAAAGGTAAATTTCTTTTTTTTTTTTATTAAATTGTTTTTATTATTATTATTATTATTATTTTTATTTTTATCTATTTAGGTTCGATTGGGCCTTTCAATTAGTGATAGAACCTTCAAAATGAAACTGTCTGATCTGTCACCACAGCGAAGGTAAGCTGTCAATATTTCTTTCTTTTTTTTATATTTTTATTTTTATTTTTTTTAATCTATTTAGGTTTGATCACGATGGAGGTAAAGCCATTGATATTTCTTACTTTTTTTTTTATTTTATTAAATTTTTTTATTAATATTTTTATTTTTATTTGTTTTTTTTAATCTATGTAGGTTTGATTGGACCTTTCACTTAAGGATAGAACCTTTGAAATGGAACTGTCCAGTCTATCACCGTGGCAAAGGTAAAGTTATTGATATTTCTTTCTTTCTTTTTTATTAAATTGTTTTATTAATATTTTATTTTTATTTGATTTTTTTATTTATTTAGGTTTGATTGGGTATTTTACTTAAGGATAGAACCTTTAAAATAGATCTGTTTAGTCCATTATCACAGTAAAGGTAAGCTGTAGATTTTCTTTTTTTATGTATAATAAATTTTTTTTAATGAATTATTATTAATAATTTATTAAATTATTTAATTACTTTTAGGTTTGATTGGTTTCTCCACTTTGGCTAAGAATCGGACAGAACCTTTGAAATGGAAATGTCTGTTTTATCACTGTGGCTAAGGTAAGCTGACTAATTTATTTTTGATTTTTTTTTTTTTTCTTATTTTAGTAATTAATTTGCTTTTTTTAGGTTTGATTAGTTGGCTAAGAACTAAACAGAACCTTTGAATAGAACTGACCAGCTCATCATCGTAGCTAAGGTAAGCTAACTAATTTTTTTAATTTATTGTTTTATTTTCTTTTCTTATTTTGGTAATTAATTTGATTACTAATTTTATTTATTTCATCTTATTTATTTGATTTAGGCAGTTTTAGGTTAGATCGAGATCAGATCATTCTTTGGCTGAAATTATCAGATGAAACAGGATTTTTGTTATCACAGTATATATTTTTGATGAATTTTTTCATTTATTTTAAATTAGTAATCGTAATCATTCAGTCCCAATTTTTTTTTTTAAAAAAATCATATATAAACGACCATTGTTCCTATCAATATTAATATTAATATTGATTGAAATTGAAATTGAAATTAATATTAAAATTAATATCATATCAATATAAATAAAATGGCCCCCATAGTTTTTGCATGAAGCTAACCAAATTTATACCTATTCCTTCCTTTCTTAAAATAACCATAGCTTCTACTATTAAAGTAGAATCACCTGACACCAACATCTATATGGCATGAACTCTATATAGTATTAAAATAAGTCAGTTTTTAGACTTGTTCTAATATTTACTGTAATGATAATTTCTGAAATGAAAATATCAAAATGAAGAAATAACGAGTTTAAGAAGGCGCAATTACCATTTTGTATGCAATTATTTTATTATTATATAAATTCTATATTCAATTATTTTATTAAATTGAACATTTTATATGCATATTTTTTCTAATATATTTTAAACTGATCATTAGACCAATAACTTCAACATTTCCTTTTTGGATTATGATAATATAAGAAAAAAACATTAATTAATTTTAATAAATTTGGAGCTTTAATGATAGACAATTAATATAATTATTTTATTTTTTTATGCCTTACTGAAATAAGCTCAAATTAATTATCTTCCTCTGATTTCTCACTACAAATATATGCAAATAATTTAAAGCATAAAGTAAACCTACAAATGAATATATTCAGACAAGAAATATAAAGATATAATCTGTTCGTTTGATCTTTCACTAATATTTGGACTACATTCAGTTTTCTTAGGCAGTCTGATAGTTCCTGCTTGATTCCTTGATATTGAAATTAGGAAATTAGTAATGTTCTTTTAGAAAAACCTAACAGGTCATCTCTATCTAAATAGGAACAGCTAACAGTTATAAGCTGTACAACAGATCAGCCTAGCAAGCCAATCTGTGTCTTAATATTGGCTTTATAGCTCAGCTAGCAGCCTTAAATGACAGGTAGCGATTAAACAATATATGTTGTAGGATTATTTTCATCACATCTTCATATGCTATTAAAATTCACTTAACTTAATTCAGTAAGACAATCTGGTTAAATCCTTTTTAATGCGAACAGCCTAGATTATTTATGGAAAGTATTACAAATAGGAAAAATTTAAATCGAGGGATGGCAAAAGAGAATTTTCTTTTGGTAATTCTCTATGCAAGACTAAATAAAAATAAAACAATGGTTTTAAAAAAAAGTCCTAAAAGACTTAGAAACGAGAATTAAGAAATTAGAGCTAAATTACGAAGGGTTACTTTCGCAATTCAAACATTTAGAAGAAAAGGTTAGAGAGCAAGAAGAAGAAACCAAATTCAAGAAAAAAACTATTGACAATTTAAAAGAAAAGGTAGAGAATAAGAAGACGAAGCCAAAGTCAAGCAAGAAAATATTAATAAATTAGAAGAGAAAATCAGATGTCTTGAATTAATTATTTGTGATAATATTGATAATTTAACTATTACAGATACTAATAAGGATAACGTGTTGAACACCTTAGATGGATTGCAAAGTCATCGAAATTTAAAAGTACTCGACTGTAACAATTCTGAAATAATGAGCATATCAACTTCACCTAACTCTTTATCAAAAAACTATTGCTATAATATTCCAACTAACTCACCAAATTCACCAATTTACTTATGTGCTAATAAAGGAGACAGTAATGCATAATTTGAACTTAGCAGTTTATATATAAATGACGTAGGCATGGAAAAAAATTCAGAAAAGGTCTTTTATTAGTATCAGAAAGCTGCTGAAAATAGACATAATATTGTACAATTAAATCTTGGCTGTTTATATCAAAATGGAGAAGGTACGGAAAAGAATCCAGAAAAGCCTTTTATTGGTATCAGAAAGCTGCTGAAAATGGACATAAAGTCGCACAAAATAATCTTGGCTATTTATATCAAAATGGAGAAAATACGGAAAAGAATACAGAAAAAGCCTTTTATTAGTATCAGAAAGCTGCTGAAAATGGATTTGTAATCGCACAAGTTAATCTTGGCTGTATATGAAAGTGGAAAGTGTGTAGAAAAGGATTTTAAAAAGAGTTTTTATTGGCAACAAAAAGCAGCTGAAAAAGGAAACAAGGTTGGACAGTATAATCTGGGCGAACATTATGAATTAGGCAATGGTGTAGAAAAAGATGTGCTGAAAGCATTTGATTATTATCAAAAGGCTACTAATCAAGGATATTTAGGTGCAAAATTTCAACTTGGATATTGCTACATAAATGGAATTGGAACAAAAATTAATAAAAAGAAAGGATTTGAATTATATAATGAGGCAGCCGGAACAAAAGATTTTGATTTACAAAAATTATCTTTTAATAGTTTAATGAGTGATTTAGATAAAGTTAATTATTGGTATCATATAGCTGCAAATGATAATAATAAAGTTGCATTATATAAATTAGGTGAAATTTATGAAACAGGAAAAGCTGTTTGTAAAAATTTTGTGAGAGCATTTGAATATTTTAAGAAATCGGCTAATCAAGGATATTTGGAGGCTCAATATAAAGTTGGATATTATTATGAGCATGGAATTGTAGTTGACATTGATAAAAATAAGGCATTTGATTTATTTAAAACAGCTGCTGAAGGAGGAAATAGTAATGCGCAAAAATGTCTTGCAAATTTGTATGAAAAAGATGAAGGAACAGAAAAAAGTATTAATGATGCTATTTATTGGTATAAAGAAAGTTTGGACAATCTCTTAATGCAACAAAATAAAGTGAATAACGATAAATTAATTTTATAATAAACTATGGATGTTGAAGTTAATTGTAGAACTTGTTTCCATGTATGAAATTTCGGTATACGCCAAATTACTAGATCATTATAATTGAGAAAATCCGATAAGCTTTTTTTTTTTAAAAAAAAAAAAGTACCTAAATTTATGGACTTACTGTCATATTTACCATTGCCAACAATATTTTTTTGATAATTTATTTTAAGCAACGATATGATTATTCAAAGATAAAGTATGTTTATCTTGAAAAAGCTATTATAAGATCAATACAAGATTGGATTATTTTCTAAATAACGGTAATGCAAATCAAATGACAATTGAACACTATAAGGAAAATGCAGCCGCTTAGTCAATTTTATACTATCCCGGAAATAAATAACTAATTTTTGGAAATATTCATTCAAGAATCTTGGCTTTGTTTAATACATCTGTCCTAATACGTGAACAATACTTGAACTTGTAAAAATCGTACCCTCGTAATTCAATTCTTTAGTCGCCTTAATTTGCTAGATGTCAATTAATGGCATGTGTCAATCGAATCGTTTACGATATTTATAATTTTGATAAATTTTCATTTTGAGCATTGGGATTATGTCCACTTGACCATTTAAAGAAGCGATCTTGGCTAAATCAAATAAAATGAGTGATGTATAAGATTTTTAAATTTCTGATCAGAACCATCAAATCGATGCTAAGTTCATTTTGACACTGTTTTTTATTCTATTTTCTAGCAAATTGAAAGTGATACGGGTTCTCAATTTTTTCAGTTAACTCGTAATGCTCAAAATAGATGTCGTTCAATTTCATTATCATATAAACCCTCAAACTTCGATTTTGACTTCAATTTTCAACAAATTAAAAGAACCACTTGTTTGTTTAATTCTGCACTCCTCCTTTCTGTCGTCCATATATCTGAGATTCATTTCAACTGCAGATAATATGAGTGTTAGAAATAATAAGATGAGAACTTGTAAAAAATGAATTTTCATACTGTTCAATCGGACAACTGGTAGTGAACAACTTTTTAAATGAGGTTACTGTCAGGATATTTTTTAATGCTACAATCTTCGTGACAATGCTTGCGAAATCATTTAGGTTCTTTGCACTTAAATACTGTATATCAGTATCTAACTTTACGGGTCTCTAGAATAAGTTTACGAGTTCATATATAAGAGATGGGATTGTATTAATTAAGCCAATTTTCATTGATAGCTTATTTATATCAGTACGGCACGGTACAATTTTAGAGAATTCATAAATAACAATATTTAACAAATTGTTTAATTTAATGTTTCGGGCGAAATTAGTTTCGCAAAGTAGATCTGCAAAAATCTTTCCAAATTTAGGGTTTCGGATTCGGATGTTGAAAAATAGTTTCGCCTGAAACACTAGTTTAATTGTTTGGTAAAAAAAGAAGTCAAAATAGCTTAAATTTTAGAAAATTTATAAAAAAATATATTTATAATGGTGAAGGAATAGTGATTTTTTGTTCTAATCTATCATATTGTAAAATCCACTTTTACTACATTTCTTTTGGCCTTCATTAATGAATACTCGAAATTTTTATCACTTATAACCTATGCATTATATTTTATTTGAAAAAATAATTTAAGGGAAATCACTCTTGTATGATAGAACTTTTTTTTTTCTTTTTTTATTAAAATCATGATATGGGATTTTTTTTTACAACACGCTATTGTAAATTATGCTGTTTTTTAAACATGAAAGCACGTAATCGTCGAATAACGTGACTAAGCAACCATATGTCAAGTTAGGAATTGTATATAATCATTCATAGATAAAAGTTCAAATTCTGGATAACTTTGAAACAATCTAAGGATCGCCGGTGTACTTGACTAGTATACACTTCCAAAGATGCAGTTCACAATAATAAAATGTTATCATCATTCGTTTTTTATGATTCAATGATTCAAGAATCAATCCGTCGAAATTAGAAATAATATTTGTTCAGTACTCGCATCATATAATCTTTCTTCGAACCATTCCGTGAATTTTGAAATATATCTTAAAGTACGAAACGAATTACCAAACCGTCGTTATAATTATTAATTTATCACTCTACATAAATTAATTACGACCATCTTATATCAACTTACATCCAAAGGGAATGATAAGATATATAAATTCCTTATGTCATTATCGGAAAAAAATTATGAAAGTTAACTTTTCTATAGAGGATTATGAAGAATTTCAAATAATTAGAGAGTAAAATTTCTGTTTTATTAGGAATTTATTCATTAACTTTTGAATTAGAGATAAATTTTTCCACAAATTCTGTTATTGAAACGGTTACTTTGTAAAAAAAGGATAATGGTCGATCAAAATATTGTTTAAATCACATAAATTATCATCTGCAAAGTTATATATTATAGCTGCTATCCATACCTCATACTATATAATCCCATCCCATCCTAAATCCCATACTATATTTAATATCACATTTCCCATTTCCCATAATCTCAATCCCAATCCCAAATTTCATTTACTGTAATTCATAATATATTTTTAGTATATCTTAATCAATATCCTACTTACTAATATAAATAATAATCATTTAAATCTTCCCATAAACTAAATATCATTATATGTGACGATATTGTTTGTTTATTATACGAATTGGTCTTGCTTAATCAAATATTGATAAACAATACAAATAGCTTAAGAAAGATAATTCAACATCAAAAACCTTTGAAGGTGGCAGTAATAAAATTATAGAAATGATATCCGTTTTTTGCAAACATTTAATCAATAAATTTTTTTAATGCATTGGGAATCAATTTTAGATGCGATTAGTTGACCAATAAATTCATCATTTTGGTCACATGATATCCTTCCTTTTTTTTACAACCCCGAATAAAAATTAAATATGACCAAATTTAAATTCATTCATTTTTGAAACTTTTGCAAAATGATGAATGTGATTGCGGTTTCTTTGGATTTAGTATCTAAAATCATGAAGAAAACGAAATTTGTGAAAAGTAATTTTGAAGAAAATTCAACGAGTTGAAAATGGTAACGATCTGTTATATGATGATTTTGGTTGGTCATGCAGGTGCGGTGCACTACATTTTTTGTTTTTTTTGATCAAGCACAACTGTGCTATTAAATACTATAATGCATTCTTGCGATTGTTGTATAAATCAACTTTAAAAATTTTGTAAGGTAATTCATTTCCATATCAAATAGTGGTTGTTAAAATATTTTTTTGTTTTGTGAACTTGCGTAATCAATTTCTTTTTTGTTTTTAATTCATTTTGAAGTGCTAAAAAAAAAAAATATCGGAAAAAAAATGTTTGTCTTACTGTAAATGATCGACAATCCATTGCAAAAATAGGTTAGATCCTTTTTTTAATATATCCGAAGACTAGAGTATTTATGGAAATTCATTTAAGCCATTTTACATATAAACCGAGGGCTGAACTGTCCATGCATAAAAAGAGAATATTTATCCTTAGAGCAATTGTAAAAAACTCTTATTACAAATAATGGTTTTAAGAAGAAATTTAGAACAAGCCTTGAAAGACTTGGAAACTAGAATTAAGGAATTAGAACAAAATAACGAAGGATTACAGTTACAATTCAACAATTTAGAGGAAAAGTTCAAAGAGCGAGAAGAAACCAAAACAAAACAAGAAACTATTAATAATTTGGAAGAAAAAGTTATAGAAGACAACCATGAATTAAAAAAAAGGATTAGAAACCTTGAATCAATTTTCCATGATGATACCATTGTTAGTTTTACCATTACAGATACAAATAAGGATGACATATTTAATGTCTTGGGCGGATTGCAAAGATATCGAAAATTAGCAAAACTCACTTGTAAAATTTCCAGCTTACCAACTTTACCCAATTCCTTAACGGAACTTGATTGCTCTGGTTATTTCTATAACGAAACAACCCTACCAACTTTACCCACTTCCTTAACAAAACTCAATTGTTCTGATACTCCAATAAATATCCTACCAACTTTACCTACCTCCTTAACAATACTTTACTGTTATAATACTCAAATAACTATCCTACCAACATTACCCAACTCCTTAAAAATACTCTTATGCTCTTTTACTCAAATAACTTTCCTACCTACTTTACCCAACTACTTAACGGAACTTTATTGCTCTTTTACTCCAATAACTAGCCTACCAACTCTACCTAACTCATTAACGGAACTTGATTGCTCTGAAACTCAAATAACTAGTTTACCAACTTTACCCAACTCCTTAAAATTACTCAATTGTTCTTCTACTCAAATAAATTTCCTACCAAATTTACCCAACTCCTTAATAGCACTTTATTGCTTTCTAACACCAATAACTATCCTACCAACCTTACCCAACTCCATAACGGTACTCAGGTGTAATGACACTAATTTAAATAGCTTACCAATATTACCCAACTCCTTAACGGAACTTAAATGCTCTAATACTAAAATAACCATCCTTCCAAATTTACCCAACTCCTTAACGGAACTTTATTGCTCTTATACTCCAATAACTATTCTACCAAATTTACCCAACTCCTTAACGGTACTCATGTGTTATTACACTGAATTAAATAGCTTACCAACATTACCCAAATCCTTGAGGAGACTCTATTGTTATAATACTCCAATAACTATCCTGCCAACTTTACCCAACTCCTTGACGGTACTCAACTGTTGTAATACTGAATTAAATAGCTTACCAAATATACCCGATTCTTTAAAATATATTATCCCTCTATTTTTAAAAACCCAATTTAACTCCTATCTTTAACCTTTTACATAATCTTTCTTTTAAGTTCATGTTTTACATTTTGGAGTGACTACATGATAATCTTTATTGATTTTCATGTTTAATGCTTTAAAAGTTAATTTTGATTATTTATCTTTTTATTAAGCGAATATTTACTGTAGATCGAAATTATGGAAATGTTACATTCATTGAATTTTTTTACAATAGATAATTTAAACTTTAAGAATAAATGGTTTTATTAAGGAAATTATATAACATCAATTGTTAACATTTAATATATAGTTTCAAATATGAAATTACGCATGAAAATGAGGATGGATTATTAATCCACTTGCGAATTTTATGAATTTTTTCATCTCATAATTGGGAGAACAAGTAAATTACCTCTTTAAATCCGTTAAATGTTTTATTCAAGAGATATTTTATTTATTATACGTCTAATTTATTGAATAATTCCATCGATATGACTTATTAAACTAAATTGTTTCTTCTTTTTACTTATTGGATGCTTTGCTAAACATGATGAACATTAAAATATGTCATAAACTGCGAACCACAAACCGAACCTCTCTCTCGCAAATTATCAAACCGAAGCATTACAATTCATTCTTTATGCGGAGTGAAAGGTGTTTCCACTTTCATTATAAATGACGGTATTTAAGCACTTTCACTTTGGTCCTCTTAATTTCGACATCGAAAGGTTTTGCCTAATTAAAAAATTTATGATCTCTATAATGCACCAAGATACAGTTCATCAATACGATGATGTGTAAGTTGCAGCTCAACAAAACGCTGTCGTTAATGTGTGGTTTATTATTCCCCCCATATATTTTCCCACTATTCATTATCTTCTTCATCTCTCGCCTTATAATTGTGTAACTTATTATTTCATTTTATCGTCGGTTTTAGGGCTCTAAAAATAAAGTTTAACGACATCTACATAAGTGGCGAATCAAATGTGTCACGAAGTTTGATAACATCGATTAAACAATTATAGGCCGTTCTCGAACACCTCCCTTCAATGATGTATTTATTTAATAACGTGGTTGGCTTAAAACAAAGAGCGATGATCAGTTAAGTCAATACCATTTATTTTTCTCCACCTAATACAAGATCGCAACATCAGCCAAGACCTAACTGATGGGTTTCCATTTTAGTAGGTGGAAAGAGATTATAATACTTTTAAGAGACATCACAATATAACTCAGCTTTTGCCTCAGATGCCCCTAATGCAACGCATATATGTAAACAAATTGCTACTATATTATAGCGACTAGCAAAGGAGGCAGGAATACGAGTATTAGAGCAAACACTTGGAGTAAGTCAAGGATTTGCAAGAAATTTTAATGATAGATTCTTTAATGGCACAATTAGATTTTGGAACAGAAACAAATAACATGGCCTCGAGGATCATGACTTGCAACATGAAGAAATTACCCAAATGTAATTAGTACAAAGGATGGGTCGCACACACCTATCCATACACCTTCTAAGATTAGCACACGTTATTTTAATCGTAAAAATTTCATTCCATTTAGTCTTCTTGGAATTGTTAGTCATCAGGAACGTTTACTAATATAAGTAATGATTAATTAATTTTTTTTTTAAAAATAGTAAAATATTTTTATTATAGGATATGATTATAGTTTGACAGTTTTGATGGGTTTCGATGGGTCTCGAAAGTTTCAATGATTTCGATAACAACTTTGCAAATTTTAATAAAATTCGACGGGTTTTAAATGGTCCATTGTATCACAATCGTAGAATATAAAAAAAATTTTTTGCTTTTAAATTTATCTGACGCAACGAAGGTGCAGATCGAAAAATTGGCGGATGACCGGAAAAAGATGAAGGAAATGAAAACGCTCCTATGCGTTATGAAGCAATATGTAAAGCTTGTACAAAAATTAGACAAGATCTTTATGTAAAATTTTAGGGTTCAAGTGATAAAAATTACAAACAGGTGTTTATTGTAATCAAGGAAGTTCGAGGTTCATTTACCATCCTATTATTGTATGTACCGGTTTTTTGCAAAAAAAAAATAATAATTCAATTAAAGAATAGATACTGCACCAAAGATAAACCTTTATTAATCGATAAGTTAATGTTTAAAAATAAATTTGCTGACCTTAAAAATTTTCCATTATTTTATTTAAATTATGGACGTTTAATGCTGAAAATTATTATAAAGGGTTTAAAAGAATTCGTAATGAATTTTCAGGAATCGGCCGTGCCACACGTGATTTTTGAACACCTTGAAAATTCATTTTCTCTTAATGTCCTTATAAGTTTTTTAAAGAATGATGTGACGATTCATTAAATACATAAGTGCCTACAAAATTAAAAAAAAAAAACACCCTTTTTAAATATGTTAAAAAAATTTTTTTTTTTTTTTTTTAATCATTTAGTAAATAGTTAATATAGTTATTTTGTTGATTATATTTATTATGTTATTTATAGGAATCATTTATTATGTGATGTTTTCTTTTACACCTCTCAAGTTCAAACTATAAATATGGTAACCATCGTCCTCGTATTCGTGTAAAGTCGGTCGAATCATAACTTCCTCTAGTATTAATAATTACTCCAGAATACACTTGATAAAAGGAAATTTTATTTTTTTTTTGAATAAAAGTCAAATAAAATTCATAAGGACTTATTTTTTTATTTTTTTTTATATTTTTTTTTTTTTGACATATCCTAATCCGTGACTTATGATCGTAAAAATGATTCCTCGTCTTTGCAAATTTTTTAAACATTTCGTAAATTGAAAAGAAACAACTAACACTGAAATTTATTGATTCCTATTTTGACTAGATAGTTGAAAAAAATGTGATTTTAAAATTAATAAAATTAAATGAGGTCATAATGATGTCAATTAAATTGATTATATAATCGCAAAAAAAAAAGTAATTTATATATTTCATAAGAATGATTTTCACAAAATAAATGGCTTCTGAATTTTTCCCCGGATTATCTCAAAAATTTTCTCAATTGCTTGAAGATTCAGATGACTATGATATTATTATCAAAGTTGGAGTGGATCCCAATACGAGAAAATTTCATGCACATTGTAATATCTTGAGAGCTCGCTCACCTTATTTTAAAAGAGCTCTTACACAGAATTTGGTTACAGATGAAAATAACTTTTTCAACTTTACTAAACCAAATATCTCTCCTACTGTCTTTGAAATGATAATTAGGTAAAAATTTTCTCGTTTGATTGGTTATATTGATAATTTTTGATTTGAAATCTCAATTTAAAGTTAAAACATATTTTTTTTTTTTTTGGTTAGGTTTATGTATACTGGCATTCTTGATTTGCGAAAAAAATTTGGTTCGGATATCCTTGATCTTCTTGTAGCGTCGGATGAATTGCTCATTGAGGAATTGGTTAAATATGTACAAAATTATTTGATCGAAAATCATGACAAATGGTTGCAACAAAATCTCGTTGAAGTACTTGACACAGTTTTTCAACTGGAAAGCTGTAAAGAAATTTATACTTATTGTTTAGAAACCATTTGCGATGATCCTGGACCTTTTTTTTTAATTCACAAAAATTTCCAACATTGAAAGAAAGTATTCTACTTACATTAGTTGAAAGTGAAGATTTACAAATTGATGAAATTGAATTATGGAATCATCTCATTAAATGGGGAATTGCTCAATCTTCAGAATTGAGAGAGGAAACAATCGGTAATTTAGGTGATTGGAATAAAAAGGACTTCTTGGCTTTGAAAAATACACTGAACCAATTTATCAAACATATTCGATTCTTTGAAATTTCTTCTAATGATTTTCATAGTAAGATTTGGCCTTTTAGGAAGGTGATACCTAAATCTCTCTTTGAAGATATTGTTTCATTTCATATGTCAAATACTGAGTCCACGCAAAATAAATTGGCTCCTCGTTATAATAAAATTCCTATTGATTCAATGATCATCAAACCAAAACATGCGGCTATCCTTGCTAATTGGATTCAAAGAAAAGATTCTAATGCAAGAATTCCAAAAGATATTGATTTTACTTTTAACCTTATTTATCGTGGAAGTAGAGATGGCTATGATATCAATAATATACGAAGTATGTGTAATGGACAGGGAGCATGTATTTTATTTATTAAAATTGAAGAAAATGAAACATTAATTGGTGGTTATAATCCTATTGGATGGAAGTACAATGATATAAATATTTATCATCGAGTTAAAGGTAGAAGAGGTGCATTAGGTAGAAGTGTTGCATTTAGTAGATTTCGTGGATTTAGACATCGTTCTCGATTTGATAATTCTCTTAATAATTATTGGGCTAATACTATCGATAGTTTTATTTTTTCATTAGGTGATGGAAATAATTTGAAAAATTTTAAGATTAGTCGAGTTGTCAATAGTAAATCTGCAATATATGAATCGAATTATCAAAATATACCATTAAATTTTGGCAATAGTGATTTAGTTGTCAATGGAAATGTTGGCACATGCAATCAAGCTCGATATGAAAGTCAAATTTTAGATACAAACAGTTTTACTATTGAAGAAATGGAGATTTTTAGATTTTATAAAAATGAATAAGTTTATTGTCATTTTATTTCAGAAATCATTAATAAAGTTTAATATTTTACAACACGTTAAAATTAATTTAAGTGCTTTATAATAAAACGAAGATATTGCATTAATTATGATGGATATGCATATGCTCATATTCTATAGCTGGATACAGAAAATATATCAATTGATGACTTTATAAAAACTTGGCTCCTTTTTTTTCCTTATTTAATTTTTTAACAAGACTTGTCGTTCATCCGGTTCTTGGCAAAGATTGTGAATATCCATATAATAGCTAATTTTGATCACGTTTCTCATGTGACTTATGATGAATCGTTATGTTTATTTTTTTTAGAACGTTAAACTGAAAGTTTCGGAACTTTGAAAACATTGAATCTTAGATCGCGGGTAAAGTCATTCGATAGTTGATTTATTTTTTTTTTATTTCATTAAATAAAGCTAACACTAAACTTTACTTTGTATGAAAGTTGAAAGAAATTGGAACTGATCAAAGTTCTAATTGTATAATTCGTAGTAATTTATTTTATTATTTTTTTTAAAAAAATAATTACACACTAATACTACTTACCGATCTGGAAACTTAGAACCTTGGATCTCTAATGAAGTAAAAATGATTTGTCAGTATTTTTTTTATAATCTTTAAAAAAAACTAATAATACGGTCCCCGGCGAAAAGAATGTTAGACACATTTATTGAAGGTATGAAAAATTTTTATTTATTATTAATTGCAATTGTTTTTTTTATTATTTAAAGAGTAATACTAACTCAACATTTTTTATTATATAATTAATATTTTGTATGGCCTCCTCCTGTATCGATGCATGCTTGAACCCAATTTGGCATGCTTTTGATGTACCGAAGTAACACACCATTATCAAGATCTTTCCATTGCTGCTAGATTATGGTAAGAAAAATTTACTGAGAGATTTATTTATCTTTTGCCACCAAATCCTTGATCTTTCTCTTAACAGTTCTCTTTAAAACAGCCTATACATTCTCAATAGGATTCAGGTCTGAGCTGTACGAAAGTTTAGAAAGAATTTGCCCTGAAAGACGATTATTCAAGTCATGCTGAATGTCTCGAGAGGTAGATTATGGTCATTTTTCTTGTAAAAACTGAAACGTAAATGAGGTTCACGAGCTCACTACGTACGGTACGCTCACTGATCTTGAGTTCATCATCATTTTCTTCCTACTTTACTTTAATTTCACCAGCTGTAATGAAATGATTGTTCTACAAAAATTTTCAATTGGCAGCGCTTTTTTAGGTTTCCTCAGTCAGCCAGATAAGTGTTCTATAAATATATTGCCAATTTTACGCAGAATACTGGCATATCGCTTACATGAACTCCTAATTTTTGTGAAACTTCTTTCGCATTATGATGTTTTGCTGCGTAAGTGACTTAACAGAGTTTTGTTGTATTTCAAGAGAAGATGGCATTATTTCGCAGATAAAATTAAAAAATAGAAATAACAATTAATTTTTACAACTTACCTTTTAAAATTAGCATTCTATTATCCGATTTGGTAAAATTAATAATGATTCAAAATCAAAAAAGTGGAGGCGTTGCGGCTGAATATAGATGCGGTATATCTACTACCATTCTTTTCGTCGGGGACTGTACACTACACATACCTGGTCCTGATCCTTGAAACTAGGGAAATTAGTAACTTTTTTAATTTTAACAAAAATCTAACACTAAACTCTGTAGGATAATTCAGATTCCTGAAACCTAGAGTTGAAATCAGAACTGAGGTAAGCTCTAATATAGAATTTGTTATTTTTTTAATTTTTAAAACAATAACAATAACTTATTTTTTTAGACTAATCCAGAACCTTTAAGTCTTAGAATCTTAGATTGGTAAGTCTAATGAACAATTCGTTAGTATATATTTTTTTTATAAATAATTTATTCACCAGTTAATTTATTTTATTAAAAAAACAACTATCAACTATACTAATACTTATTATAAGCATCTGACTTTAGGTAATAAATTTATTTTTAGAAAGTTGAACTTGAATGAACTGGATTTGGGGATTCCTTTTAAATAATTGCCTTTTAGAAAAATTTAACATTTGTTTCTAATTTTTTAGAATGCTGAACTGGATTGAGATAATAGAAACAGGAGGTCTTTTTTTATAAGTTATTGTGCTTTACGTTGATAAAAATTAAAATTATTGTCCAATTTATAATGATGATCAGTTATATTTAGCCAAGTAGTAGCTAAATCTAACTGATTATCATTATATTGGACAATAATTTTGATTTTTATCAACGTAAAGCACAATAACGATATTATCATGTGATTTTATGATGTTGACTTAAATACTATGACGTATGAAAAGTATAAATATATCATTTTTTTTAATTTATTTTATTTATTATTCTCTTTCTTTTCGTTTATTTCAAGCTAAATTTTTTTTAAAAAATTGGAACCACCTTTTAAGAAACCACGAAAAATGGTAAAATAATTTTTTTACCTTTTTCTTTATAAATTTAATAATATATTAGAATGATTTATATTTTTAGGCAAATTTTACTTATGAGAAACCTACAGAAGAGGACCTTAACAAACTTATTATTAATAATCATATTAAAAATACCAGCTATTCAACATCAACATGGGTTTGAGCCTTAGAAAAATTTCATTTAGATGTAAAATATCAAGGTCTCATTAAAGAAATAACTACAAAAGAAGAGTTAGAAGACCAATTATGTTGCTTTATTCATTCAATAAAAAAGCAAAATAGAACTGAGTATCATGCTTTCTCAGTTAATAATTGTCTCTATGCTTTAAATCGACATTTGAATGAAAAATCAACACTTCCTAAGCCAATCAATATTTTAGACAAAAAAGTGTATTATAAGCTATGGCAAGTTTTTAATGGTAAAGTAAAAAATCTAGCTAATCAAGGTCTTGCAGAATGTACTGGAAGTACAGGTTTACTGAAGAGGAAATTTTACATATTATGAATCATCCAATTATGATTGGGGATACTAGAGATTGGAACCGGTTTGGCATAATTCGATTTAAATTCAGTTTAAACCGGTTGCAACATAAAACTGGGTCTGATTTTTTCAGATCTGAAAACTGGTTTTAATAAAACTGGTTGATTGCGAAAGTTCGAATTTAATGAAACTGGTTGAAACCTGATCCAATCTCTAATTAATCATTAACTG